GCGTACCAGCTGACTCAAAATAACAACAGAAGGACAAATTGTAAAAAGCAATTCCTTACAAGGAAGAGCATGCACTGTCCTGTGGAACGATGGCTGTGGTCTCACTGGGTACCGACAACTTCTCAGCATTACAGTAACGAAAGTTACTGATGCTTACTATGATTACTTTAAATCCTCTTTATAGGATCACATTAAATTCTATATGGCTTGCTTAAAAAGGCTAGGAGATTCATTAAACAATTTGGAGTTCTGTCAAGGTGAAATAATACTTGTTATCAATGGTCTGTTCTTAAATGTTTAGCATCTAGTCCTCCAGGGGCGAAAGAAAAGGTCTGACTTGTACTGCCACCACAAGTGATGTGAGGTACCAAAGTCATGTCTACCTGAACATGAACTTGCAGGTAACAGTTTTCCCAAGCAAGTAGAAGCCAGCTTGGGAACCACAACTTGATGCCCAACTGTTAGAAATTAAGTGCTGTGTAAGTCTCTTTACATACAGCTTTAGTTTGAATACTCTTGTTCCTCCAAAGCTCCTGTTGAAACTTAATCCTCAATGCAACAGAATTAAAACATACGGCCTTTGGGAGGTGATTATGTCATGCTGGCTCCCCAGTGCTAGAATAAATTGATGCTCTCATAAAGGCATCTGGAGGACGCTAGCGAGGCTCTGCTCTGCCCTCCTATTTCTTCCACAGCACTTAAGGCATCATCTTAGAAACAGAGAAGCACTCGTCAGATTCCAAATCTGCCAGCACCTTGATCTTGGATTCCTGAGCCTCCACGTGGTGAGAAAATAAATTTCCACTCTTTATCAATTACCCAGTATCGGGCATTTTGATATTGCAGAACAAATCAAAAAAGATATATACATTGCTTCATTTACTATTCCCAACAACCTCAAAGAAGAAATAAATCTACTTTTATTAACTTTCTGTGGAAGTAAACTGAGGCTCAAAAAAGTTTTATAAACTTATCCAGGAACACACAGCTAAGTGCCAGGCTGGTCTTTCCAAAGATTGTGTCCTTCCTGGTCTACTACCTTGATCCCTAATCATTAAAAACATTTCAAAAACAACATTTAAATTAGGTTCCAAAGCAGGCTCAAGGAATGCTGTCCATTATTCCAAATTATACTCACTGGAAATCCCACAGGCCTTGCCGTCAATGGGCAAGTGAGGTGTTAATATGCAGGTATTTAGAATAGAAACACCTAATTGCTGCTTAGACAGAGAAAAATGAGCAGAGACCTGCTCAGAGATAAGGCAAAAATCAAGCAGGAATTTGCAGACCAAGCTCCCCAGCACCCAGCAGCAGTGTAGAAAATGACTCTGAGTAATCTGAAGATGGTGGCTTCCAGCTTCAAATTCAGCTATGACTGCTGCCAAAACCAGCCTCTGCTGAGTCGGGGGGTAGGACTGTCAGCACACAAGGCCATGAAGACCTAGTTTGAGCATTCACACATGTAAAGTCAGCACTTTAGTGCTCCTTAACAAACCACCTTATTGTAAGATGCAAGCAACTTCGTTTCAAGGTGCTGTACGTGACTATGTTCCCCACACACACCTGCACTGTACCACAAAGGACAAGGTGGCCCGTTCCTCCATGTTTTGGAAACTGAATGAAAATAATCTGAGAGTGAACATTAACAGGATTCTATTCAAATAAAATCTCCAAATTCTTCACCCAGAAATTAATGATCACTATACTTAAAATTTTGTAATTAGACAAAATGAATGGAAGGAATCACTTATGCAATCACTGGCAAGTTTCAACTTCTTTTTCCAGCCAGTATCAAAGAGGTGAGTTGATCTGCCACAGGATAACACATTCATTCCCCTTGCCCTCCCTGGCACCCACTGTGGAATATATTACTCCATTAAAGGAACTGCTGTTGTGTGCTGGTTAGGTAAGTGGGATCTGTAATTCGGCAACCAAGCTGTGGAAATTATCCCTATACTGGCCAAAGCTTAAAGTTCACTGTTTACCAATGTCCACGAGCCTTCAATACTATTTAAAAAAACCTAAGAAGGTATCAGTCAAGGCTTGAAACAGTTTACTTTTAATTTATGGCAGGAACACCGAGCCATATTCTCTCAGTATCTTCAAGAAACAAGGACCATTCATGTACAATAATCTTGTGTTTTTCTCTGCTGTATACTAAAACCTGAATGAATTGGATTTTTAAAGTGCACTTTTTTAAACCTTTCACCCAACAAAGAATACAACAGTACCCTCATTCAGAGACATCAGTACAAAGTAGATTGCTTTGACACTTAATATCATCATTATTATGCGCTTAGTAGTAGACATGTAGGAAAATAAGAGACAAGAAGATGTCAGTGCTGGGAAAGTCTGCAGGTATTCCTCCTTTCCACTTTCCACAGTCTCCATCCTTGGCGTCCATTGCATCCTTTCTGGAAAGTCCACTGAGGCCAAGGATTGCTCTCTGGAGCATCCTGGCATCCTAAGCAAACTTTACCACTCCATGCTGTCTGCATCTGCCTCCACTTCCCTCATGGGCCAAGTTACAGGTTGGACAGCTGGAATCTCACGTCCTCAGGGCCAGGCTTGGTTATCAGAAAATACGATAAACAAGCCCATGGAAAGAGTAAAGCAGAGGACTCCATTCCTCCCACTGTCTCCTGTAGGTACCTTCAAACTGTTACCATTCCAGGAAGCAATGACCACTTTTCCATTGCCTCACTCCATTAGCAATCTCCTGGGTGAAGATCCCAGCTCAGACTATAAGAAAAGATAACACCAAGTTGAGTATCACCCTGGACCCCTGTGATGGAGATGACTGAATGAGAAATGGGGGAGATAAAGTCACAGGCTAGGTGTGGCCTCATCACCATGCATGTTTTTAAGAGCATACAGATAGCTAAGTAGAAATCTAGCCTGCCTCTCACTTCCACCTTTGTGCAGATTAACCATAACCAACACCCAATCCATATGGATGGCTCGCAGAAAAGTCTTTTAGAATCCATGCACCAGGCACACCAGTCTCTACAACAGTCCTTGTCAAAAACCAAGTTGTGGGGAGTTACACAACCAATTTCAGGTGGCTAGAAGGTTCTTTTGTTTGGCAGCCAGGTAAAACAGGACTGATTCCTTTAAACAATCTCCCTTCCCCTACATGCCCTTCATACACAGAATTCCTTTTGAAGCCACTAAAAATCCCTTTCGCAGAACAGCGAGATGAGAACAATTTGTTTGTTTTTGTGTGAACCTATCTTCTCTCTGCTTCCAACTATCCTAGCAAGTTCCTTTTTCTTTCTCAGACCTCTTCTCAAAACTCCCACATTCCATGTTCCCAAGAAGGCTTTTCCTACAATGGATCTCCTCTAAATCAGAATGGCTGCAGTCCAAAGGTTGTGCAAAAAAAAAAAAAAAATTCATCAAGCTGCCAGCAAAGCCTTAGCAATATGCTTGACCTTTCCTTCCTCTGCATTTTTTCTTCTTAATTGTCATGTCTACCCCCGCTAAGTGACAAACATGAGGTAGGAATTGCTTTTATCCTTATGTTTTTACAGTGCTTCAGATGATTACCCCACTCAATAAATTGAAAATCATTATTATACACAAATGCATATGCTAATGTGTGACCTGTAAGCTTGGACAGCAGAATGAATAAACAATTACTGGCAAACACCAGGTATGGCATTTCAATGAAGTCATCATGGAATCACTAGCAATTATCTCTGCAAACTTAAGGTGAGGTGTCTTTGGACTAAAAGAGAGAAATGTGCACTTGTATTTTAAAGAAAGAAAAAGGAAAATTTAATAAGCAGACTCAGCTCCTTAACATTAAGGTCCAGAAATATATTGCAGAATTACATGCACACACACATACACAAACACACACTAGCTAGCATGCTAGAAAAAGTCAAGACCATTTTGTTATGTTTTAAAAAGAAATCCTATTCATCACATTAATTCAGCATTAGCCCTCATAAGTATGACAAGTCTGATAAAACAATGTGGAAGGCAAAGATACTAGATAGCTTTGACTGTTGTGTAGATTTAAACTTTGTCTTGTTTGTCATTGGGCAATTAAAAACTGCATCCTGAAATCATCTTCTCATCAGGTGGATTCATAAGTGATTAAAAAAACCTTTCCCAGTAAGTGATTATTAATGGTCCAGTGTCATCCCAGAGATGCATACCTCATGGGATTTCAAAGACATTGGTCTTAACCTAGTGCTATTTTTAGTAGTGACTTAGATGGTGAGAGAGAATATGGTCATTAAACTCAGTGATGACATCAAACCGGGTGTGGTACATTCCACTTTGGAAAACTGGATAGAAGTGCAAATCTCTTGATAAGTTGGAGAAGTGGGTGGACATAAACAGATTGAGGTTCTGTAGTGTAATTCGAATGGGAAGAAAAACAAACCACACAATTGCAGGATTCATTCTGTGATGTCATAAAGAAAACGATCTGGAGGTCATAGCCAACACTAGCTATTGATGTTTGTACTTTAGTTTTAAAAGCATGTTTGATTTAGAAGAAAAAGAGGGCCCACTCAGGCCCTCTTTCCTGGAGGCACAATATGACTCCAGTGTATCCTATAGTCCAAAACTCTATGCCAGCTGCAGGCTTGCATTTTAAAGTGAAATATGAGGGATATAGGGATATTTAAGGAAAAAAAATCACTATTTTATTGATTACATGTTTGAGAAAGAGCCATTAGAAAAACAACTAAAATCATAAACTATTTGGTCTGAAAAAGTTGAGGAAGAAACCTAAGTATTTGCAAGCCTAGAAAGGAAGAAAGGTTGTGAAGGAATATGTTTAAATTAGTTTAAATTATATTTAAAAAGCCTACACACACACACAACACTTACAGAGCTATAGAAAACTAGCCTGTGTTGGAACAGAAAAAAAGATACCGTTCACTGAAAACTTTTAAAAAAATGAAATTTAGAAACAGTTCTACGTATAGATAGAAAATTAGACTACACATGTGAGAGTAAAACGAAAAACCAAGCATTTGTGTTTTCTTGTTTATTGGTTTACCTTGTTTGTTTATAAAGGCAGTAGAAACAAAGGAAGGTGAAGAAACATCCAGTGGTGTGGGACCCTCACTTTTCCCACAGAACTTGGTGGCATCTCCAGCCTCAAGGCCAACCACGCTTCTCCAGAATCAGCACTGCCTTGTTTGCTGTGCGTTTCAGGGGTGGTCTTCACAAGTAATGGTGAGTTCTAAAGAAACTGCCTCTAAGGTGGTACGCAGCCTGATTCCCAGACATTTCCTTTTGTTCATTGTCACCCTGGGCTTTACTGCAAACCTTTGGGAAATACATGATATACCCTCCCCCCAACCTCCCAAGGACTTCCGGCCTTCAGGATGAAGACCAGATGCGGTTCAACCTCTCACACTGCTGGTCTAACCTCTCTTCTTCCAGCCTTTCTCCTTCTTAGGAACTCCGAGAACTTGTTTACTATCAGCGGCATTCCTTTGATACACATCACACACAGCCTTGTGACATCTCAGGCCGCGTTGAGTCACCAATCAGCATTCACTGTGTGTCTGTATTACTCCCCCACTCAGGCCTGAGCTCTGTGAAGGTGAAGATCATGTGTTAAACTGGTTTGTATCCTCCTGAAATACCTAATCTAGTAAGTACTATGTATGGCAGAAGCTAAGTTAGTATTTGCTTATCAAATAAATGAACAAATAAGAAGAATGTTGCAAGTAAATTCAACCTAAAAAAGGTTGTAAACTATTTCTGGACAGATATTTTTCATGAGAAAATAAAAAGCAATTTAGGGGAAATTTATAAATTTTTAGTGGGAAAAGTACATGTCAACACTGTAAGAGACCCAATAAAATAATTACAGTGCTTCTTTACATTTAGTTATATTAAGTCAAGAGTCCCTAACACGATAGGTTATAACAATTATGTTTGTTGGTACTTTTAACTGAGTCGAATGTTTATCAGCACATGCTACTATAAAGCAAAAACCAAAACCACTGCATGTGTTTGTTTAAGATGATTTTGTCTTACAAAATTTGAACACTTACTATTTTAAGATTAATATTTTATGTTCATTCCACTCCAGGCCTCTGTGGTTGATCTCTCCGATAAGACTGACAACAAAGTATCAAAAGTGGTGGCCATTTTACAATTTTATGTCTTAGATTATGTCTAGAAAACCGATTCACTTTACAGAGATAAATATCCTTTGATTATCACTAGTTTGGACCATGATTAGTTGAACCTATGACCTAGAACCTAAAACAACTACATTCATAGTATTTTTTTTAAATCCCTAAATGATGTCTCACTATTATAAGCACTATTCAGTTGTTTGTTATCTAAACAGTGTAGATCTTTGAAAAATAATAATGAGTCATTATGGGCACATTGGTGGAAGAGGTTGCCTGACATCCCTGTACAACTTGTTCTTCACTTGAGCAACACTGGGGTAATTTTCCAGGAACCTACTGACCATTATAATAGCACAACATACCCATTAAATTTCCACAATAATTCATAACATCCGAAGTTCTTTTAAAAGCAAGTAGTGTAGGTTGGAGCAGGAAAATGAATTTTGATATAAACTGTGGGACTGACAATTAATCTTTTTAAAAAAAGAAAAAACCCCTCCAGAATCTACATTACCTTGATTCTATCTTTGATAACTGAGACTGTAACAGAAACCTGTTTCTATAATAAATCTTATGAGATTTCCATTGAAAGATGGCTACCAACCCCTCATCATTCATGTGATACGTTCGTTCCATTGTCGGGGAGGATCTACATTTTTTAACTCTCCTTAGGACACTGAGCCAGTCAATTATTGAGTACAACGAGACATTTGCATGAAGCCAACACTAACTAGATAGTAGAAGAGACTTCCAATGGTCCAAGAAGACAAAGCCCCATGAGTTACAGTAATCCTAAAAGCCTTTAAAGAGTTTTGCTTGGTGGCACATCCTTTACTCAAACTGTTCAGAAAAGTTGAGGACTCAAGATCATTATCTTGAGTCCTCAAAAGATGTGTAAGTTCAGCTGGGCATGGTGGCTCACGCCTGTAATCCCAGCACTCGGGAGGCTGAGGCAGAAGGATCGTTGTGAGTTCAAGACCAGCCTGGGCTACAAAGTGAGCTCAAGTCCAGCCTGAATTGCATAGCGAGACCCCGTCTCAAAAAAAGACAAAAAACAAAACAAAAAAAAAAAAAAACAGATGTGTAAGTTCAGGAGCAAAGAAGTAGAAAAGCTTTTAGATACAGATGCTGCTTATCTTATGATAGGGTCACATCCCAGTAAACTCATCAAAAGTTGAAAACTGTGTAAATAGGGGCTGGGGGTTTAGCTCAGCAGCGTAAGCACCTGCCTTGCAAGCAGGCAGTCGTGAGTTCAATCCCTGGTACCGATAAAAACGAAAAAGACCAAAAAAAAAAAAAAAAAAAGAAAGAAAGAAAGAAAAGAAAACTGTGTAAATTCAAAATGCGTTTGGTACACCTGATCTACTGAACACCCTAGCTTAGCAACACAGCACACACTGTATGAGCTGCATATCCTCATGATCTGATGATCTGGGAGCTGCTCAGCATCAGCATGTGAGTATTACCACACATATTCTGAGCTGGAGAAAAGGCCCAAATTCATACTGTAATTTCTACCCAGTGCATATTGCTTCACACTGTCAAAGTCAAAAACGTGTAAGTCAAACTATCCTAAATCAGTGGTCATTTACACGTCCTCTGCCATTGTCTTGGTTGCTTTTCTCTAGTTAAGACAAAATACCTGATGCCCAAAATTAAGGAAGGAAAGGGCTATTCATCTTACCGTTTTGGTGGTTTCACTTCATAATCAGCTGGCTCCAAGGCAGGTGGCATGGCACTGGGGCAGCACTTCAAGGCAGCAGCCAGAGCAAAAGGAGAGAAGGCTTCTCTTCCCTCATACTGTAGGCAGCCCGTGTAGCCCCCTGCCACCCCCAGGGCAGGTGTAACACAACTCTCAGTGCTCTCCTCTTGCACAAGATGAAGATATTTACAAGTAAGGGTCCTGGCACCCCGCTGAGTCTCAGTAAAACTTCTAAACTTCTCAAATTGATACAGTGTATCAACCACAATAGCCGACAGATGCGGGTCCACTGAGAAAGGAGTAGAGAATCAGAAATTAATTTCAGAGAAGTAGGCATCCTAGCTCTGCTACGAGCCCTCTTATTACCTGATGCCTGCCCCAGTTTTAATTTGTTAATCTAAAGTGAATGCTATTTAGGCAGACAAGAGGACTAAGTGAAAGAAGAGCTGTACAATGTTTAGCCCGACACGTAGGACAGACTAATCTTTCCACTAAGTGGGCCTGGTGACATGCTCACTGCTATTTGGGGTACATACCTACGAGCTACACGGAACAGCCACAGTAACCTCCTCTGGACCTCTGCTCTGAGTCAAGGCCATGATGGAGAACTTAACTAACAGGAACATCACTAACCAGTCTAGATGCTGTACAGAAAGGGCCTATTTTTCTTTATTTTCTCAGGCCTGAGCATGGTCACAGATTTCCAACTCTTCACTGAAATGAATGAACAAAAGAATAAGGTAAGGCATAGAGCAGAAGCAACCCCCTGAAGAATCCAAAGGACTGCCATAAAAGCAATTACAAACTAAAATTCTGGAACTTTCTTTTAACGCCAGCAGTCACTCTTTCTGAATGCATTCTCCAGACATGTTTATTTCATTTGGCCATGGTCTGTGAACCCTGAAGACTTTAACAAGGTGTATTTTGTGACACAAATTGCTAAGTAGCAATTTATTTCTTTTTCATTTAACATTTGTCAACAGGTCTGAATGTGACATCCACAGTACTAAATGCTCAGAGACTGTACCCAATTTCAGGTAAGTTCTCTCCCTCATCCAACAAGAATGTTCCATAGGATAAAAGAAACCACTGGCCAGGAGGAAGCAATGGGAAAGCCCACCATCCCTGCTGTGGGCCTCTGAGATTTCTAGCCCATTTTGGCTGCTTCTCTATGCCCACAGGGTAGTTTTCTGACCATGGATTGAAAGCAGAAAAGAGATGACGTAGGTTTCTTTTGCCAGAGGTGAGGAAAGGGGACGCCAGAGGAGTACATCACGGAACTCTTCAGTTTTCTTTAACTTCCATAAAAGTTAAAAAAGAAAACACTCTGGAGTGTTCCACGCCCATCTGTGGGAGTCACTCCTAATTTCATCCTACTTTAAGCATTTTCTGAAGTGTTTGGGGTTTAGGAAGGCTGGTTGACAGTAAGCCAAGAAGATACAGAAACTAACTATGAAGTGAGGAAAATTTTCACTTTGTTCTTTCATGGGGTCACATGTGAACGCAGAATTTTCCCCAAATTCCCAAAATACTTCATGTGGGATTGACATTCCTCAAAAAAATTTGATCCTGGACATCCCCTCAAAATTGTTTTAAAGCCAGAATGCTAAAGAGGATTATATGTCCAGGAATTACTTTTTTAAATGATGTAAAAACTTTAAACATGTAATAGCATTTCAAATAAAATCATAATTTGATATTAGTATCATATTTATTCATGGTAATAAATACTGATTTAACATTCATTAAAGTATGAAACAATTCCCAAACCAGACATATATGCTAAATAAATCATAAAGGAAGACATTTTTTAAAAAGTTTAGTGAATTCACCACCTATAAACTATGGTAATTTCAATCCTATGCTAAATGGAATTAATATTTGCTCAAGTAGTAGAGGGTGACCAGAAATCCAGGGAGAATAAAACACAGCCATTGCCCCCTGCACCTCCCACCAGCCCTAGCCATGCAAGGCAGGGAAGCAAACCAACTGCTGTGGTATAAAGCAGTGCGCCCTTAGAAGGGGCAGCATCACGCGGAGCTCCTAACTCAATCGGGGGAGCAAAAAGGGAAGCTCCTCTGAAGAACTATGTACACGGGATTTCCAAAAGGCAAAGAATTTTCCACGTGGACATGACGGAGAGAGAAAGATGACAGAGAGGCAGTTTGCTGAGACTGCTTGAAGTATTCACATTGAGTGGGTGCTGGAGAAAAAGGTAAGACTGGAAAGTGAATAAAGCAGGGACTTTGAAGGGTTTGGAGTATCCCAAAGGGTAGCTTAAGATTTTTATCCTATAGTGATTGCCAAGATAAATCTCAGTTTATACCTGTGACCCCAACATAATAATTCCCTGTGTCCCCTTGGAACTCTCAAGTGTCCCGGATGGATTAAGTTTCATGGTCTTCCTGATGATTGGAAGCCACTGATCTTAGGGACACAGATAAAAATAAAACTGAATTCTGCCCTCACAGAGTTCATAGGAAGGAAAGAAGAAGACACAGAAAGAGCTAATTATAATAGAAGTCAAAGGTGATGTACGCTGTGATGTAAACTAGTGAACATTCTCAGAGGTTATGCACTTCAGCAGAACTTCAGAAGGTAAGTGAGGACTGAACAGGGATGCAAGACCATCCTAGGCGTGAGTGGTTTGCCCTCCTGTAAAAAGACAAGCATTCAAGGTCGCCGAAGGGGAGAGCCTGGCTTTGGCGGCAGTTGACAAGAAAAGTTAGCCTTGTAGACAAATTGTCAAAGATCTTGGATAGCGTATCAAAGAACGTGGAGTTGGCAATGTCAGCAATGAGGAAAGCTCAGAGATTCCTAGTCAGAGGGCTTGTAGGACCCCATCTGGCTTTTGAACAGACAGCCCCAGCCTCTCTGTGGAGGCTTGACGCAGAGCGAGCTAATAGCTGTGCTTCAAATGGGACGGAATAGAATTCACTGCTGCAGATGTGAGGGCCTGATTACTGTCATCTGGGAAACCTGATGGCTATGACACTGTGAGGTCCAAAATGAAGAAAAGACCAGTCTTGGCTGTGAAGAAGGATAAGAAAGGAAAGATATTTACTAGGAAGATGTGTCAGCCAAAACTGAGAAGGTATTACAAAAAATTCCACGAGTTTACTACCTGAAAGGTTATAGCACTGTTTATACACTATAAATTTTATAATAAATCACAAGGCCAAATAAATCCATGGGAAGGTTTGTGACAGAGCCAGAACTGTTAATGAAGGACCTTTTGCCTTCGCTGGCAGGGATGAAATCATTTATAATAATGGTGTATTCTGAAGCAAGTCTGTAAGAAATCTGGCAAATTGGGAGCTTGAAATTTATTTCAATAAACTAGCCTGCTGGCAGTTTTCATAATCAGAATATGCTGGCCAGAAGCCATAGACAGGGGAGAGGAAAACTCATTGGTATCTTTTGCTTTCTTATCTATTATTTTTCCTTTTCTATTTTTTGGAAGAAAATAACCGTGAAAAGAATTTAAGTTCAACTCAATAAGCGATATTAAATCTGATGTTCAATGCACATCACACAAAGAAACCAGGTCTCTCTTACATCCAATTGTCAATGGAAAGATTTAAAAATATGTTCAATAGGAAAGCCGTATTTTCTCAATCACAAGATAATTACCACAGCTTTGTAAAAGGGGGATTGTAAGATTAGAAAGTATAAACATGGGGAAATCCATTAAGCAAGGTAGAAACTTCCCCATAAGATAGCATGAAAGAAAACTTTTATTATTTCTGCCCCCATGATCCCAACCTTTAAGAAATTTCTTCCATCAAACAAACAGCAGTAAGCAACTCAAAACTTAATTTTATATGGTTTTATTTATCACACACAGCCGTTTATACCAGTCAGTATTTCTGATCATTAGGAAAGAATGTCTGTCACCAAGTTGATATGATTTGAGACAGAAGCATACAAACTTGACATTTTATTTAGCCTACAGAACTTACCTCAAGAAAATATAATGTTTTCTGTTAGCCTTTTTGCAAACTTGAAAATAGCTCAAGGACCCTGAGGGACGTAGAAACCTTACACAGGGAACAACTGCAGTGGAGAACAGACAAATATCTAGTAAGGGAAGCAAATGTCATACAGATCACATTCCCGCCCACCCCCCCGAACTCTTGGCCTTTCACCTTTATATTCATTTCACTTGACAAGAATTGGTTAAGTGCCAACTAGTTATACAGTAGTCACAGGAGTAGATATCAGTGATACAAAGACATATTATCTTGCTCCAAAAAAAGCTCATAGTCTAGTCAGGAAAATAAAGATGGAAAGCAGCTAATAAGGGATGGATTGCACACATTATTGGGCTGTGTGATTGTTTCCTAACTTTGCTCTGGCTTGGCTTGCAGAAAAGGTGAGTCGAAGGCAGGAAAAGAGTCAGCCCATTGAAAATCTGGGATAGGATTTTCCAGTCATGAGAGACAATGAATGTGATGTTCAGAAGCAGCTCACATTCAGAAGGAGAAGCAGTATAGCCTGCGGTTCAAACACACAGACTGAGGTCAGACCATCTGAGAGGGACTCAAGGTCTACCAGTTGGTAATTGAGTGACTTCCCACAAGTCATATAACCTCTGTACGTCCCTTTTCCCCTACTTATGCAATGGATATAATAACAGCTTCTACTTCTTGAGTCAAGAAAACCAAATTCTAAACACTTGGCCTTCTGCTTGGTGCTCAGTCACCAGTGCTTGAAGCCATTGGTCTATATAGTGTGCTTCTTGTGCCACAATAAGGATGGACAGGATGGCAAGAGCCAGGGCATGAAAGATTTCTCTGCCATGCTATAAAGGCAGTACAACCTTCTACAGTTCCGTGAAGAATTTCAAGCTCACAAGTAGGGAATAACATGATAGGACTTTTAGATTAGAAAGATCACTTCGGGTATGTTGTGTAGGCCAACTGGAGAAGCAGGCTTGCAAAGTCACCAAGCAGGCTTGGTGTCACTCAGTGATAAGGGTTGTAACTATGATTGCCAAGATGTATCTGCTAAGGGGAAGAAAAATATTCGCTCCATCACTCACACCAGTTCCACACTATTCTGTGAATATTTCTCTTCCTGAAGTGTTTGTTTTTAGAACAACAAAGCATCTTTTGAATTAGCACAGCAACCAAGGTGGGAACTTTGTTGTCAGCTCAGCACCAGGAGAATGGAAAGTCCTCTCTAAAGAGTTCCACACCTGTAAAAAGTCTCTTTCCTTTGAAGCTGATGACTTAACTAATGGAGTTAAATAAACCCTCTTTGATATGCAGAAATGGCTTAGAAGGATCCACCAGGAAGTCTTATTTGATATGCACATGCAGCTTGGAAAATACTTTCCTGTCCCCAGTATCCCCTTGGAGATGAGGGGCAGACCATTCAAGGTAGGCGTGAACACCAGCAGCGCAGAGTCTTCACAGCTTGGTCTGTATCCACACCCCCAGCCCCCACCCACCCCAGCAGCTGGGCTTTCAAAAGAGCACCTAATGCAAACCGCCTCTTACCAGTACTCTCCACTTAAGGCAAACACAGGCTGACCAGGAAAGTGGGGAGTTTGAGTTGCAGACCAAAAAAAGGAGACCACCAAAGCTGGGGGATCTTGAAGGTGTGGTGCAAAAGAAATTCTGCTCTTCCAGGAATGTCAACCATCTGTCCCCTTCTTCCTCTAAAAAAGTGAATAGTTAATAATAATGATGATAATAAATTGTCTAACAGCTTTAAATAAAAATTCTGGGCAAGATGGGGGAAGTTAAGAGTATTTACAGAGAAAAAGAGAAGTCCTTCAGGGCTGAAAGCAAAGCGCTGTATGTGAAGGTAATTTTGGTCAAATGATTTTGTCATAGCCTGTTAATAGATGCGGCTCTATCACATTGTAGAGACCACCGAGATATGATAACTTGCTGCTGGATTCATTTTTCTGATATTTGTAAAGGCAGCTGCCTGAAGCCCAGGGAGTTAAAAGTAACACAGAGAGCAACTACAGTCAAATGCAAGTTCAAGGTACATGACCTTGCAGGCAAAGCTGCTGGAAAGAGATATGTGTGTCTTCCCCAACCCCCGACTCCTCTTGGAGTCTTTTAAATGTCCTTCCGAAAAGTAACGCAAGAAAAATTCAAAAGCATCAAATTTAGGGAACCTGGACAATTTTTGTCTCTTCTTTTAATATCAACTTGTGTTTTGTATTTTTCTAGAATGGAACAAAATTTCATTCCTCCATAATGCATTTGCAACAATCACATTCCTCACAATCACAGAAAATTTACTGGAAGTCAGTCCTAAACTTATTTATGTTGTTATGACACAATCTCCTCTCTGTCCTCCTGAAAACTTTATTAAAAACTTACTCTGTGTGCCACAAACACACACGTGCACCACATACACGTCACAAATCAGATCCCAGTGCAATGCAAGAGGTACACAATCTTACAGACAGAAGCTGTCTTCAGAGAATACATGTAGAAAATGCCACTGGGTAGCTTTTATATATAGCAGAAATTTGGAGGAAAAAAATAATAGTCTTGAGACTCTAATAAGGATGGAAAGGAAGACAGAAAATTCCAGTCAAAAGTGAGGACTCTGTCAGGAATGTTGACTTTTGACACTGCAACAAGGACCAAAGCTGAGAAAGACCAACACTTTTAACAGATCAGATGTAAGTCATGGTGGAATGGGTATCACTGTAGTGACTTGCTTGATTGCAATTTCTCAAGTAGATAATTAGTCATCAGTATATAAGTATAAAACATTCTCAAAACCTTACCTATGGGGCTGGGGATTTAGCTCAGCAGCATAAGCACCTGCCTGGCAAGCACAAGGGTTGTGATTTCAATCCCTGGTACAAAAAACAAAAACAAAAAAACACCCTCACCCTTATGGAAAGATCCTAAATGTTCTCTGAGTGTATACACATGCATATGCATTTTACATCAAATATAAGGAGCCAATGTGGAACTGATGTAGGGGAAGAAACTCCCAACCTACTAGATATTCAATACGAGTTCTCATGTTCTCTAAAATCAAAGAATGAATTTTAGGAACAATGGAAGTTAAGAGTAGAATACATTTATTGGGAGAAAGAAAGCTTCTGTCCAAGACAGAGGCAGAAGGGGCCCTGGGTGGGATGTCGAGGATCATGCCTTTTCCAAGGATTTTTACGGAGTAAAACCATGAGGTGAGCTGGGTCTATGATGGGGAAAAATGGGAACTCGCAAAACAGGTGGGCATGAGGTGGGACAGAGCTATGGTCAGCTAGTAAGTTTACAAGTGTAATTGCTCAGGTAAAATTGATTAAATCGGGATCAAATGGGGAGGTGAGTCCCATAGCAAGTGGGCATGAACACAGAATAGAGTCTTTGCTGGTAAGGGGATGGACTATTGGCTCCTTCTGGCTTCTCAAGGTAACTGATACCTATTTAGAATATCAATCCCTATTGTTTATACTTAGGGCGGGGTTGCATTTGTTTTGTCTTTTGTGTGGAGATCAGGCCACAAGCAGAGGTGTCTGTCTCCTCCAAGGTTGCAAGATACCTGGTTTTGTGCACTGGCTTCTTCGAAGGCCCAGCCCTGTCTGACTGCCTATAATATTTCTGTCTAATTCAGCTGCCTATACAGAACCTCATCTCAGGAATGTTCTATCCAAAATATGGTAGGACAGGGGGAAATAAAAAGACTTTCACTTCTGAAAAATAGTGGTGAGACTTTGCCAGAGCAATATGATAGAAGGAGCCAATTAAAGGTCTTCAATAAAAAATTTTCCTTGATCAAACTCTCAAAAGTTATTGTGCCAAATTCAATAAACAAAAAATTTCTTCCCTCTGCCAGTGTCACCTGTCAAAGACACATCTGCAATGGACACACAAAAACAAATTATCTTAGCTTTTTCTTAAACTATCCTCTAGTATTTTCTCACTTACCTAATTTAGGTCCCTTTTGGGTAAACTTAAAAGAGAAATTTCTCGCAGAGTAATTTTAAAAGGTTATCATTTCTAATAATAATAGTAGTAGTAGTAATCTTTTCCTTATTTGACAATGAAAGCCAGATAACACCAGATGTTTCTCCTTTGCCTTGGCTACCAGGAAGCTCTGAGAAAATTTGCATCCTCTATCCACAAGGACTTACTGAAAGCATTAGCTCTTCTTTTGTGGTGTATCTTTTGCCATTTTATTCTGTATCAAGGCTCTTCTGTCTGACTATAGCATATCTCTCAGGAAGCTTACTCTGCTCAAAGTTAAAGGTAGAGAATAGAAAGAGAAAGGGGAAGGAGTATTTTCCCCTCTTTGTCTAAAACAATATTAATTATTATGTCCTTTTTTAAAAAAAATGGAAAAAATAGAAACACAAAAGCATCTGGGACCAGTTTCTCTGTATCCTTGCTTTGCAAAACTTAACTCTGGTCTGAGACTGTATTCCTCCCCAGTCTTTTTGTTGTTGGTGGTGGTGGTTTTTATTGTGGTTATTCTGTTTTATTTTTAAGACAGGGAACTGAAGTTTAGGCTGACCTTGAACTTGCTATTTGACCCAGGCTAGCTTCAAAGTGGAGATCCTATTGCCTCAGCCTCCCAAGTGCTAGCATTACAGGTTTGTGCCACCACCCCCACTGTGTTTTAAAGGTGATAAACCATAATAGCAAACTTTTTAACTTTGAAGCCAGGCAGACTTTTATCTGACACCCCAGCTCTGAGAGAGTTAAGTCACTTAACCGCTCTGGGTCTCAAGTAGTATCTTTTCAGCCAAGTTGATGTTGAGATTCAATGAGACAAGGTATGGGAAAACAAATGGCATACTATATGGCACATGACAGATGTAGTGTCTCTCTCCTTTCTTCCCTTTCCCCCAACACACTGATTTTCTCTATACAAACCAGAGGGGTGCCTCTGGGACAGTGGCTATTGTGCCAGCTATCTCTGATGAAATCTCCTTGGCAAAGATAAACTAATACAGATGGCATCAGGGATGGAAAGCATGGCCTTCACAGAGAATGAGCTGCCACTCTCTGCCCTAAAGAGAGATGCACGGGTCATCAGGCGTGGTCACCACGTTGTTGACAGAGGCCATGGTGAAGACACTGAACAGTGCTTCCCACACTTCTCAAGGGATCCAAACTTTGACTTTGGGGATGGGAAGGCATGGCAGATAAATACTGTCAAATTCTCGCTCTTCAGATTGCAGTTTATGTAGACTCCAGGCTGATCATATGTGCCAGGTTAATACCTCTATCTTCAGACAACTCACTGGACTTCAGCCTTCACAGTTAAGAGTCTAATCCTTCCTTGTTGTTTTGTGTTTTTTTCAAAAGTAGTTGCATTGCTCTATTGTCATGAGAACACCTCCCTTAGACTCCCAGTCTGGTCACCTAGATAAGACAGGGTGCTCCACATTCTCTTGGCCACTCAGCTTTAAAGCATCTCTTGAATTATTTCTCTGGATAGCCGGTGTTCTGTGCGTAGTCCTTCCCAGTGGAACTCACTCACAGAGGGTGATCCTCTGTCTCTTGGCACTTCAGTCTTCCAGTGATTCCTTTCCTCATCTCTGTGATCTAAAAATTAAAGAACCTTGTAGTAAAAGGGAGTTTTTGTCTTTTGAGCACTGATAAAGGAACACAATTAGATTAAGGGCAGGGCTTTGCTACTTGTTCAGTGTAATCCAGATGAGGCTTTTCCTTTTGCAGATTCTTTAAATTCTCGGAGCAGCTTTCACCTGAGTCTGAAATGTAGGGTCCCTCCGGGTGGTCCAGGCCCTACAGACCCTGATTTCCACCTTCCCTGGCATCATTTTTCTCCCCACAGTATTACTTAAACTGTGGCTTCTATCATAAATGGTATTCATGAAGTAATCTGAAAGCAACACAGAATAGTGGTTGTGCCTTTGGCTGAGCCAGGGTTCCTGAACTTTCATCTCCAGGCACACTGCTAGCTACCAGTGTGACCTACACATAAAACCCAGCACAAGTCCAATATGGCATTTGCTTTCCACAGAGTCCAGAGAGATAGCAGCGCTGGCCATTAAGCACCAACCAGACTCAGCACGGCAGCCTGTGGTCCGCACTGCGAGTAAAGTCTTTGGCTCCATGTAGGTTCTCTCTGGTGGCAGCTGGTACACAGTTGATCCCTTCAGGCTCATCATCAGGACATAAACAACAGAGCATAAATGCTACAGACAGCTCACATAATCTTTTGCCACTCACAGATTTTGCTCTTGATCCCCTTTGTGACACTGAGCAAGTCACTTCACCTACCCTAGCCTGAATTTCTCTGATCTCTAAATAAAATGGGGTAGACAAGATGGCATTCATCACATGAGTAACTTAGCAGGGCCCCACAATTCTTACCAATCTATTTCAGAAACTCCATTATCAGCCCTCATGTTATGCCCAGAAGCAGGCACATTTTTGCACATGCTTGTGAAATCTTTTTCAGTATTTTATACTCAACTTTGTACTATTAGATAAATTCCTCGAAGAATTTTGTTGGCATGTGTAACGATAAATCTAAAGAAAGTGGAAAACTTTCTAGTTCTGTTTGCCTAGACCCTCTCATAGCTAGTTGAAACAGGAGGAAACTTTACTTACTATTAAGGGGTCCATTCTTGGTGGTAAAGAAGGGGCCCACCAGAGAACCACTGAGGTTGATCATCCATGAAAATAACAGATCACTGTACAGACTTGAACCTCACTTAATACACAAGCATACTTGGTAACTGGGAGAGCCCCCTTCTACAAAAGAAAGATAAATAACACTTTTAAAGTTTTGTAAAACCAGTGGATCTACTTTGTTGCTTGTCAAATGAGTATGTACATAATATAGTTTCTACCCTCCATCACTTCTAAATCCACATTTAAAAAGATAAAATGGTTTCTGTCTCTGGGTGTGGGGGCGCAGGCCTGTAATCCCAGCTTTGAGAGGCTGAGATAGGAGGATCAACTACCATGGGTTATATACTGAGGCCCTATCTTAAAAAACAAAAACAATCACCTAAAATAATTTTTTTCTTCATTAAAATTTGTCTCCTGAATTCATATCCCTCTGTTAGCCAAGGGTAGCTAAAAGGAAATGAAACAGGAGTCATACAAACCACACAAAGAATTTACAGTATGCTAGGTGTTACAAGACTAAAATACTTTACAGTCCACAGCCTGAGGAGTCTGTAGCGGTGGCAGTTGGTGGGGACGGCAGGTTGACATGTAGGAAAATGATTCTCTGTTAGCGTCAACTGAATGAGTTAGTTTCTGTGCGTTCTGATGTGGAACGTTTTATCTAATCGCCCAAGATCTCAGAGCAGGGCTCATCGGCCTCCTGAACTCTGGACCTTTCTCCTTTTGTCTGCAAGGTTCTGTCCTTTTCAAGGAGCTCTCCCTGTAAGCAGCAAAAGCCAAGAAAAGGGCTACTTTTTGGTGGATGCTACTCTGGAAACTACATCCACATAAACATTTCATGACGGTGTCATTATACTCTACTGCCAAGGAATTTGAGAATGCATGAATACATTAGAACCAGAGACTACCTGTGCTTCCTCTTCTGCTGGGCCTGCCTCTATAACCCCCTCTTCAATGGGAAAGGATTGGGTGAGTTGTACTTACCTCCAGGCCAAGAACTGATCCTTTCTCAGAATTCTCTTCTTTCCAGGGATCCATTATGAAGTAATCACAAAGCCAATACAAACAGGGTACTCTGGCCCAGGAAAAAGTTTAAATGATTGAGGAGAATTTGGAATCTGAAGAAGATGATACAGGAAAGAAAAGACGGGAAAAAATTGAAAATGTAATCAAGAATCAGTTTTATAAATGACCTTTCTAAATTATTCAGCAAAGACTACCACTTATTCAGGAAAACCTGAAGCAGCCAGAAGACTTTAAAAATGTTTTAAAACGTTTTTTAGAAAGAAGGTTTTAAAATACTGCATCTCAGTTGCTTGAACTGTAAAGGTTAAAGGAATTCAAATTTTTAGTTTCACAGTCACCTATCCTGAGTCAGGTATTCATTTTGCACTGGAGATCTGATGATATAGCACTTGGGATAAGATAGTGGCCTGGTCCCTGGCAGTAAGGCCCTGGTCCCTTGGACAGTAATGCAAGAAACATAATAAATATGAAGTCCACATGATGAGAGGGGCTATGAAAGAAAACCACAAGACATTGCTGTCATGTACCATCTAATGACATTTCAGTCAATAATGGAACATGTATGCAACAGTGGTCCAGCAAGATTATGTTGCTTAGTGACATCTTAGCTGTCTTAGTTTATGTAAGTACATTCTGGGATGTTTGCATACCGAAGAAATTTAATGATGCATTTCTCAGAACAAGTCCCATGGTTAACTGACCCATGACTATGTACATGGCAATAATGTGGGACTTGAGCTATCTAGAGTAAAGCTTCATAGACTGAAAGGATATTGAGATATCAGTAAGTACAATTCCACTAATTCAGACTTTCAGGTTATTTTAGTAGATCCATTGCAATTATAACAGAAATAATAGGAAAAGAGGGAAGCTACAGATCAATCTTTGTCCCTATGCCTTTCCTTTTGTGATGCCACCAGGATCCAAGGCCTGCTTTTAGTTCAGCCGGTTCGTCCATCCAGAGCTGCTCTGGTTCTCACACTCATCCCATTCCCAAAAATCAAAGAGCAGTTGATTAATTTATGATAGAGTGTGCAAGGCAGCAGGACCTGTAGGAAAAAGTGTAAGCTCTAGTTGTTACTAAATTCACACCTAAAGGGATGAGAGGAGTAAATAAAGAGCAGCTGATTAATTTACGAGGGGGGTGTACCCTTCCAGTGCCTGGAATTCTAGTGACCACAGCTCTCAAGGTACACAAGAAGCCAGGAAGCTGGAATTTTCCTGCCGAAGTTGCTGATCTTATCTCATCTGTGTTTATGCATCTTTATTTCGCTTACAGAGATAATCTTATCACAAAGCTGTGAGGGTCTTTCATCCTAGCTACACACACTGATTCCAGAAGCTGGGCTGCACACCAAGTAAGCTTAGAAACCTCTTGCTTACTACAAATTGAGAGTATGAACAAGATTGTTTAAAATACTTAAAAAAAAAAAAACTGAAATACCTCTAAAGTGCTCCAGAAAATACCACTGAAAATACAAATAATTTCTATACTAATATAAATCATTTTTATCTACTTATTAGCATATCACATAAGCATTTCTGTAGAGCTGGTATTTGAATGAGTTGAAGCAGAAACTAATGAATCAATGACCAAAAGATTGAGGGTAGAAACCTGTATTTTTAATAGGAAATAGCTAATGTTAGACTTCCCAGTAGTCTAACCTTGCTATTACTTCAACACAGGCATTGATCTAAATTATTGATTGAAATAAATGGTTGTAGAACCCAAAGTATTTACTCTGGATACCACCAAAACTAGGTTATTTCACTGGAGCAATGGACCCTTCACAGTCGACAAGTATTCTTTAGGAGTTTCTATTTTTTTTTTCTTTTAAGAATTGATTGATTGTTTGTTTATTTGCTGTGCTGGAGAATCAAACCTAGGCCCTCTCCTATGCAAGACAATCCCTCTCTCATGGTGCTATATTCCCAGCCACTTTTCAAGAGTTTTTTCATTTTAATTTTTATTTTGACGACAATTTAAAACTAATTATTAGAAGCATACTATGGCATGTTTGGATATTTGCATTTATGATTACACTGTGATGGTACCAAGTAGCATTATTTTAAATATTGAACACTGACAAGAAAAGATCAGATCGCTCTAACACACATGTTAGAAACATGACTTATGAAGACCAAGTGATTCGTGGGCTATTACGTGCAAGTTTTCAGGTTGGTTTGAATAAAGCATTTCATTGCAAGGCACACTCTACCGTCAGCAGGATCAGTAGGAAAAAGTGCAGGCTGTCATCCTTACTAGATACACACTGTAAGGGATGAGAGGACTAGACAAACTGCCATGTATGCTGTCAATTTCAACTTTTATTGGTCCTACGGCTTCGTTTTTATTTAACATGTAAATATGGTCTAGCACTTCAGTTGCAATGGAGCTATAAATACAAAGATGTCACATTTTACACATAAATTTATTGTTTAAATGTATCTTATTTTTTATATAGCAAATATATGTATATATGGGGGGGTACCAGGGATCAAACTCATGACCTTGCACTTGCCAGGCAGGCACTTGTGCTACTGAGCTAAGTCCCCAGCCTCTATATAAGAAATATAATAAAGACAATTTAAGCAATTGATTTGAGAACTTAGAACTATTTCATCCATTTGAAAGGGATTTATGTATTATTCTTAGAAACAATGGCTCGAACCAGAACTTTCCAACATTTTTGTCACATCAATCCTCTTTGTTACAATATTATGAATCACACAGGTATTTTTGGGCCATATAAGAAATTGTTATATGGCATATAAAAAGAACAGAGTTGACATAAAATATTACATTTTAGATACATGTATTATTGATTCTTGTTTTGTGGTTTATTTTAACCCAGTTTTTTACAAAAATATAGATACAGATTTTCTTCATATGAGTATATTATATGATTTTTAAATTAAATAATAGAGAAAAGCATAACATTGAAAAATTGACAATATATTCATAACACTGACAAAATATTTTCTTTGGATTTTGAACTAAATATATATTCAATATATCTTCAAATATAATAACATATCATGATACCAAAAAACTCACATAACATGAACATTTTTATTTCCTAGTGTTTTTAGTAGTATAATTTGATATTTAAAAATTAACTAGGATTTTTAAAAGTAATATTTTTGCTTTGTTTATAAATAATGAAATCAAAAAAATAGTCTCATTCTATTATTTGGAAACACACCACAACATTTATTATATGTGGCGGTTCAATCATTACTTCTAATAAATTGAAGGCCAAATTAGATGCTGTCATCACTGTTTTCAGCATAAATTTTCTCAATCCTAGAATTATATATATGGGCAATGTCAGAATTTTCATTATGTGAATAAAACCTCTGGGTGAAGTGAACATCAATGTAAGCCATTTTCAAATAATTCATGGTCACATTTCTCATTGATTTATTTTATTCAGGATCATGAGTCTTCAGAGATTTGTTTGTTTGTTTGTTTGTTTTGGTCTTTTTTTGAGACAGAGTCTCACTATGCAAGTTTAGGCTGCCCTTGAGCTCACTTTGTAATCCAGGCTGGTCTCAAACTTGCAGGGATCCTCCTGCCTCAGCCTCCCAAGTGCTAGGATTACAGGCATGAGCCACCATACCTGATGAGTCTTCTATCTTTAAAAATCCATATATGAAAAAATTACAAACAAGAACTAGGGATTTAGCTCAGCGAAATAAGTGCCTGCCTGGCGAATGTAAGGTCATGAATTTGACCCCTGGGGGGGCATTTACAAACAAGTTAAAATTGTAAGCCACCCTCCAACAGGGATATTTAGCTGAGAGTCAGGTGTCTGCTTATCAGATATCTACAACCAGCTCAGCGTACATTCAGAGACTCTCAGACTTCCAGGTTGAAAAGGAAAAAAAATTATGTAATTTTACGTCCAACGTTTAATTTTAATAGTAAAAATTGTGATAGGTTCTGCTACTATCTTCTAAAATCCACATGTGTAATACAGGCCTCCAGATGGGACACGCCAACCCAAACCATTCAACACATCGCTATCTTATTTCGCTTAAGTCCTCATAAAGAGTCTCCTCTGATAATCTGCACTCATGTTTAAAATCCTGATGTTTAGGAAGTCCTTTCTGAGCAAGTCACTTAACCTCTCAGGACCTCAGATTTCTCATGTGGAGAATGAAGAAGTTTGGATAAATGGTTATTTTTTTAAAGTCCCACCCAGAAGTAGAAGTCTGTGCTTTTTATGCATTATCTAAAGCATTCGTTTTCATAACTGTTCAACATCAGAACGATGTTTTGAAACAAAATAAAACAGAAACACTTAATATATAAAGCACATAAAAGTGAAGTTGAGAATACTCAAGGTCTGTGAAACACAATTTGGAAACCATTGACTGAAAGCTCTCTTTTTAAAAACGCTTTCCTCTCTTCTTTGTCTCAGTGGAAAAAGAAAACATCTGGAAAGGATCCACCATATTAGTTTTCCTATGTGTACACCAGAGCATATGTATTAAGTCACCTGACAGCCTTTTCTTCTCTAGATTAAATAGCCATTATAAGTCCCATTTCCCATCCCTTTAAAATATATTTCCTTTTAAAAAAAATAAGCCTTCTATGGTTTCTGTAACTCTTTATTAAAAAGTAAAGTTACATACCAACCCTGATCCCAAAGAAGAGCCAAGTGTAGCAAGGGATTATTTGCAGCTCAATTATGTGATATTCTTACTCTTAATGCACTTCAAATTGTTTCTTTTTAATAATAGCATTCCATGCTGTCTTGGATTCAACCAGCCAATAGCTCAGGATGATCTGCAAAATTTTTTTATGGAACTTGTTATATATACTCAATAATTTCCCAACTTAAACTCATGTAATTTGTCATCAGTCTTGAAACCTCTGTAATTTTTCTTATTGAATATAATTCTGTTTTTAGTACAGCCTTTCTTTAATTATTAACAAGTCACTGAATATTTTTGTCTTCCAAAAGACCTCATCCAACTTCAGAATGAATGTGAACACTCCCTAGTTTACAGTTAAAGTTGTAAACTAATAAAATTTTAATTAATTGTAAAAGAATTTGTATGTGAAGTGTAACATAAACTGAAG